CTTGAGGCACTGGAATTATGGCTTCCGAAGAATTTTAGCCAGGGAAAGTGGCATACCAATAAAATGGCTCGCTTTTCAGATTTGTTGAAATGGAAACGCGGCTTTAGCCGTGTTTTCTCTGAGATTTCCCTCGGAATTTTCATGGCATCATATAAAAAATGTCGGTCCAGAAATTGTTGACCGACCAAACAGCCTACAACTGGATGCATGATGTACAAAAATTGCTTTTCAGTCGTGTAATGCTTCTACGTTTGTCGACGTAGTAGGATGATAAGTCTCCGTTCTGTGTTACGAAATTTCAGAGAAAATTGCACGGAATCGTTTTATGCAGGTTTTATCAAACAAGCACATAATGTAGCGAAATTAACAGACCTTATAAAGGTCATTAATGGATAATCCAATCATTTTTTAGGGTTGTTCGGAAGAAGCAAAAAATACGCATGAGCTGAACGCTATAACCTCGAGCAAGGAGATGGTGGCATCCATATTGCGCCCCTTCGGGAAGCTTCCTCGATCTAAATAAAATCAATATTTAGCAACAGTCACAAACCGTTAACCTAAAAGGAAAATTCAGTATACACAGCCAAGAGTGAAGAAACCAACGTTTCCTCCCGCCGCCTGCTGCATAGTCGAGCGGCCGACAAAACCACGCGCCTATTGGATATACCCGTCGCATGAATGATGGAAAGGATAGGTTTCGAGTAATTCATTGACCCTATGCGCCTCAAAATCTCAAACCTAACGACACACTTCAGTGCGCAAGTTGCGATGCATGCCTCCTCAAACTGATCATGAGAATGGGCAACGTCATGTAAAGCAGGGGCAACTATTAACCTTGAAGTAAACAGGAACAGATTACGTGTCGTCCGGTCGCCTATCATAAGTTACACTTTAGCAGTGAAGCGACTGATGTCATCTCAACGCATTTGGAAGATCCACACCTTGCAGCGTTTATTTAACAACTCACCTCAGTCCTGTACATCTCGAACCGCGGAGGGTGTAATATATTTTTAGCGACATTTGCATCTTGAGCCAGTACGGAAATTCCCTTAAAAACACGTTTGTTTGCGAGAGTACATGTAATGGTAACCTCTTCAACCCACTGTATGACAGCGCGCTCGATGCAGGGATACTTCAAGGTCCCAAGTCCTTTCTTTAATCTTGTATAAGCTTGATGCGATATGGTATCATTCCATACCTGTAGGCAAAATTGATTAGGTTGATTGTAGAGAATTCAATTTTTGCATGCTGTGGGAGGTGATTGGTGTCAGGTGAATTCTGATACCAATGACCAAATTCGTGATAATAGTCAACTCATAGCCATGGGCGAGTTTCGGTCAGGATCCGAACAATAAACAAATGCGGAAGAAATGCAAAATTGACTGCCTAACCACTGCTCTCCACTTCAGGTATACCGAAAAATGACTAACAATTGTTCTATTGAAAGTTGAGAAGAACTCTTTATAAGTGTTCCGTAGTGGATCGGGCATCGGCCATCCTCGAACTGAAAAGTAAAAAAAATTTGCATAATTAATCTAAGGGAGTCTTTGCGGACATAATAAAACAGATAAGTGCTATACAAATTCTACACTTACCCACTACCATTCACACCAGCACCAGTAACACCGTTCACTATCACGGAGAGGACCGCTGCGAGAACGAGAAACATTTTGTGACAAGTGTGGGAGTTTAGCCCATCCCTTTATATTGCCTTCATATTAATGAATTTGAAAATGTTTTCGAGCAGTATTATTGAAATTAGCCTTTGTCGCAGCCGCGACGTCAGAGGTGGGCTCCGCCCTTCACGCCGCTAATAGGTCCCGCCCATAGGCTTTCTCGCTTCTCGTGTTTTACACGAAGTGTCTACGCTGACGACATCGCCCTGATAGCGGAAGCAGAGGCGAACTAAAAGGCAAGGTGCAGAAATGGCAGGAAGTGCTGACCAGAATTGGGCTTGCCGTGGAGGACCTCACAATACCGTCGGAGCGATCTGCAGCCGACTGATCAGGCAGTAAAGGCACGAATCAACGCGGCCTGGATGAATGGAGGGAGTCCACTGGAATCCTCTGCGATCGAAGGTGCTCCAGAACACTGAAAGGAAAGGTGTATCGGGCAGTGGTGAGGCCTGCGATGCTATACGGCAGCGAGTGCTGGCCCCTGAACAAGAATCACGAAAGGCAGCTGCACTCCGCTGAGATGAGGATGCTGAGATGGGCCTGGTTGGACGCGACTGGACAGGGTCAGAAACGAGGAGGTCAGAGCGGTCATGCAGACTGCCCCTGTCCAGCTGAAGGTACGGGAACAGCGTCTGCGATGGTATGGGCATGTGCTAAGGAGGCCACAGGACCATCCGATAAGAAAGCGATGGACTTCGAAGTGCAAGGCAAGCGACCGCGAGGAGCCCCAAAGAAGAGGTGGAAGACGTAATCAAGAAGGACCTAAGTGAAGTCATGGCCACAGCAGAAGATGCCCTGGACAGAGCAAAGTGGCGACGACTGACAAAGACAGCGGACCCTGCGACTGCGCGGGACTAACGCTAGGGAGAAGAAGTGAACGAAGTGAAGAGCGCTAACATAAAATTTACCACTGAACCGTATACATGTAAACTAGAGGTGCTGCTTTTCTTGGTTCATCGGCCATCACAAACTAAGGTGCACGCTAGAGGGATTGCCTTGTGCCAGATTCTGTGCTGTGATTCTGTGATTCTGTGCTACCTCGTCAAGCCAAGCCTATTGAGGCCTCGTTTTTATCGTAAGGAGCGATGAAGCCTTCAAATAGAGACCCTTCCAATGCATTCGAGGCCTCTGAACAAGTGTTCACAAGAGATTCTGTGCTACCTCGCATCATAGGAGGTATTCTTCAATATTCCAAGCTGCCGAATGCGAGAATACGAAAAGAAAATAAATAATTCATACAGATATGGAAATCTTCAAGCCTGTGTCAAAAGTGCAACCTTTCTGTGCTCTGTACTTGAAGTCTTGTCGCTATTAGTTGAAATGAACCGATGAGTCGTATGGAAACATGCTATCAAGTAATTTTACAAACGATTTGCCCTTAGAACAGATTTCTGATGCGTTGTTTTCGATAACATCCGGTTCACAATGAAGCTGCGTGACACAACTACTATTGCCCTTTCATAGTGATCGTTTGCGAATCTTTTTGAGCAGATATTCCTCTGTTAATTCTCCACTCTTCTAGAGGGGCAATCAAAGTGCCAATCATAGCGTGCGGAGGAGTCGGAATGAGTAGAGAAGCTGTCCATTGCCGATCTCGAGTTAGACAGCACGAGCTTATGTGTGGCGTTCCGAAAACAAGAAGCACCAATGAATCAGGCTTACCACAACTCTTCTTTTTGACCATTCAAAGGCAGTGATAACGAAAGGTTCT